TTAAAAGCACGGTGTGTTAGAGGCGGGAACCCGCATGTGGTAAGTGGAAAGCAAACAATGGTGAGTGTGTCTGTGTTTACCTCAGACATCAGGCCCCCGAATTGGTACGGGGCCTGACGGCTGAGTGAACAGCGCTCGGGATTCGTAGTCCTAAAGTTCCGGGTTTGATCCCCGGCGAAGGCGGAAACAAATGGGCAGAGTTTTTTTTCACGCCTGATGCGTCTGTTCACTTAACAGTAAATAGGTACCTGGGTGTTAGACAGCTGCTATGGGCTGATTCCTGGGGGGAAGGGGGAGTGTAACAAAAAGGAGACCGGGCCGCGAGGACGCTAAGCCCCGAAATCATCTCAAGATAACCACAGACACTCCTGAAGGTAAACATTGGTCTGCTGATGTTTGTAGTTCATGGGCTCTGTGATAACATCTTAAATAACATGTAAGATTATATAAGAATTTTAGATTTCAAGATTTTTAGAATTTATTATTTCCACGCAAAATACTTGTTATATCGGTAACTGGTGCGCTTTATCTATCGACTGTTCGATAGCATATTTGATATATATTGAATACAAATAACGTAATGCTTTACCCTTAAAAAAAAACGGGCCTTGCTCGGTTGTAAAAAAAAGTTTTCCGTAATCATTTGCATAAGAAAAAAACGACGAAGGGATATTTTCATATTCAGGACAAAAAAATATATACATTTTACTTACTGATGTAACTTTAGATTCAACCATAAAAACATGACTATTTTCCACATACTAGCCGGCAAGACCGCAACACTAGTTTAAAATAGCCGAGACGGCTATTTTAAACAATTATTTGTTTTGCCTTTTCTGTACTGTATTTGTCTGACTGAATAGCCGAACCATTTGGATCCGGAGACTCTGAACAGAGAAAATAAATTGGAGACTGAATCCAAAAAATATTTGATAAAGTCGGAGTGAAAACGGTAAAAGGGGAGGAAAAAGAACAATCAGTGGGGCGAGGGGGAGATAGAACACACAGGGGAACATGTTGATAAAAAAGGAAGAACAAGAAACGAGGTAGACACCCCCCAGGACCCACACCTGAGGGCAGGCAGGGGCCACCGTGGGACACCCCCAGGACCCACACCAGAGGGCAGGCAGGGGCCACCGTGGGACACCCCAGGACCCACACCAGAGGGCAGGCAGGGGCCACCGTGGGACACCCCCACGACCCACACCAGAGGGCAGGCAGGAACCACTGTAAAACATACACGCTCTCACCAGAGAATAAGTTCACTACTCTGTGATTTTAGCGTTTTACCTTCACCTGAAAAGTCTATACTGGTATTGTAAACGTTCCCTGAACTGTTAGTGTATTTCACAGTTAAAGCTGAGAGTACAATGCCCTTAGTTAGCATGGCACGGTGGGCTCAGCTGGGATGCTGCCAACTGATCACCTTTTCCTTCGAAAGACTTAATTTTGAATCTGTATTCATTAACAATACTACTACTACTAATAATAATAATAATAATAATGGCAGAAGCCAGCACCTTTCCACATAACATTTCATAAGACAAGGAAAAAGATTTAAATCACACCAGTAAAATCCTTAAATTAATTTGATCTTGGAGACAACATTGGTACCTATTGGTGACCCAAAAGACAACCCGCCCAGGGGCTGTATACTACACGGAGGTCTGCACCTAGTATACCGTACTAGTTTACCTGTACTGTAGACGCAATGGGATGTATAACACTATACATCTCAAGCCTATATTACAGTACTCACAAATTTATTTAGTATTTCTGTCCACAGTATAATATAAAGCTGTTTTGACAAAATTCAATATCGGGCGAGGGGGGCAAATTTGACCTGATTTACTCTCTAGTGGCCTCGACGGGGTCAGGAACCCGGCGGCTTGCCACAATTACCTCTATTTTCGTCCTGCTGATTTTTGTCCAGATGGATTTTGAACTGCAGCAAATGTCTTCGTATTTACGGTTTCGGCGGGTAGGCGGTTCCTTGGGTTAATAACCCCTATAGGTGAACAAAGCATCCCCAGTTTTTGTTCTACAGTTAGGCTTGTTAAGCTTGAAGCTGTTGCTCTTTGTGTTACAATTGGGTCTTTAAAAGGAGTAGTCTGGATCAGTCTTCTGGGGGATCGACTCAGGCAGTTTATATATAATATACACAGACGGGAGCGTACTACGAGGCTCCGTTATGGCGTGTGGAACAACTTCACTAACAACCATTACCCACTCCCCCAACTGGCTGTAAATTGTTGGCCATGGCATCAACCGCCCGTCCTTCATACACCTCGAGGATGCTAGAGACCAAATTAAACAATTTTCTCTCGTCTTTTCCCTTGCAAACAACACCGAAAATTCCCCAAGTGGAATAATTCGTCGAATGAAGGCACTTTGCAGGCGCGATATTATCTCATAGATTCCTAGACGGCTGAGATTGTGAGGTTTGTTCGCATGTATGAGGTTTGGGCGCATGTATGAGGCATGGGCGCATGTATGAGGCATGGGCGCATGTATGAGGCATGGGTGCATGTATGAGGCATAGACGCATGTATGAGGGGAAATAGCTGAGTGCTCCAGTCTTACATTCATATCCCTTGATGTGTTTTTTCCAATCGAATGTTAATTTGAAAACTTAAATAACATACTAACACACAAACCAGATGAAAGAAGCAGTTACAACGTCATATTAACGGTGTACGTTCTCTATTAAATAATGATGTATAGTGATGATATTCACAACATAATGTTGTGGAGATGATCGTTAATGACCAAATTGCATGCAAGGTCATGGTAGTTTGCATCACAACCATCATCACAACCCTGGTGATTCAACCCTGGGTTCCGAAGGTGGGCTAGGTATAACCCCTGATATAAATAGGAGAAAAAGTCAGATGAGACTAATGACATAAAAAATGGGGCCCCCTCTTTCATTCGCCATATTGTGTACGCTGACATATACGTATACATATGCGTATAAATATGCATATACATACGGTGCTATGTTATATATGGCACCGGCACGCAGAGCTATTGAATCGTCAGCAGTACATACAGCTTCATAGAACTACAACAGCATCCACCGCTTCATACAACTACAGCAGCATCCACCGCTTCATACAACTACAGCAGCATCCACCGCTTCATACAACTACAGCAGCATCCACCGCTTCATACAACTACAACAGCATCCACCGCTTCATACAACTACAGCAGCATCCACCGCTTCATACAACTACAGCAGCATCCACCGCTTCATACAACTACAGCAGCATCCACCGCTTCATACAACTACAGTAGCATCCACCGCTTCATACAACTACAGCAGCATCCACCGCTTCATACAACTACAACAGCACTTACCGTATCATACAACAACTACAACGGCACTTACCGTATCATACAACAACCACAACAGCACTTATCGCTTAACTCAGCCAAGTGTAAAGTGCTTTCTACCAGTTCCACCTCAAAAAAATCACTCCTTAAAACTAAAAAAAACTTTTAAAATGGGTTTTGGAATAAATTTTGGGTAGTTATGTTGAATGATGAATTGTGCCTCTCGTGGTATGAAGAATTATGTGATGAATTCTCATTTTTTTTCATTCCTCGAAGGGGGCTAATGAACCTTGTTTATGAATTGGTTTAAAAAAGGTCGTTGAACATTTCAAGGCTCTATACATATAAGAGGATTTTATCAACTTTTATTTAAATTCGACACAGAAATAATTAATGAATGTTTGTGTCTAGAATGATCACTAAAATATTCTTTCTCTCTCTTTTTTTTTAAGAGTTGGAAAACATTGTAAAATTGTTATCGTTTGAATTCGTTTTTACTTCTGAATAGATAACTGTCACTGATATCCTCGTGGTACTTTGTATTGGTTACGGGGATCAACGCCCCTGTGGCCCGGTCTCTGACCAGGCCTCCTGATTGGTGGTCTGGTCAACCAGGCTGTTAGCTGCTACTCGCAGTCTGATGTATGAATCGCAGTCTGGATGATCAGGTATTTTCTCCAGGTGTTTAAGTTCTGTTTAAAATACCAAGAGAGTTCGGCTAGGTGTGTCCCTTATGCACACAGGGGGCACACACCCCCAGTTGAGAAGCGGGGCCAAAGAGCCAGAGCTCAACCCCCGCAAGCACAACTAGGCGAGTACAGAGTGTTGAGAAGTCAGACGCTCTTGATGTTAATGTTTAATATATGTACTAAACTGTGACTCTTTTTTTACAGGTAGTCGGGCGTGGTGTGGCGCTGCTCAGCTGCTGAGCACTGGGAGTGAACGCTGCTGCTGAGCGCTGGGAGTGAACGCTGCTGCTGAGCGCTGGGAGTGAACGCTGCTGCTCAGCGCTGGGAGTGAACGCTGCTGCTGAGCGCTGGGAGTGAACGCTGCTGCTGAGCGCTGGGAGTGAACGCTGCTGCTGAGCGCTGGGAGTGAACGCTGCTGCTGAGCGCTGGGAGTGAACGCTGCTGCTGAGCACTGGGAATGAACGATAAGAACGCCCTGACCACTGACAATGATGCTCTTCTCACCTCACCCTGAACTGCCTCTTGCCCTCAGACAACCTCCCCTAACCTAACCTTCCCTTTGGACGGCCTCATCCCTACTTCCTGCCCCTGACCTACCCCTGACCTGCCCCTAATCACCTAACCCTGACCTACCCCCTGACCACCTAACATGGCTACCGAAAGTGTTGAATAACGCCACATGTCGTAAGGCAAAGTTAGCCCATTGGGTCAATGTAAACACAAGTTTTTATCCGGAAAAACAAACCATATTGTGTGCTTGTAAACAAACATCTTCCCAAGGGAAAACAAACGCCTCAAATGAGTGTCTAAAAAAACCCGAACGAAAACATTTGTAAACATTCTTTTACACCAAAAATGTTAGCATATATAATCATACTAAGTTTCCCCTCAGGCAAATCATAGTTGTTAATATTCGAGTTGCTTATTAGAAAATTTTAAATGAAAAACTAAATTGCCATGTATTCCATATTCAAAATGCTTGCTCTTAATGTGAGTACAACGACGGCCCCTGAAGTCACTGCTCCTCCTGGTGGGTACTTCGAAGCGGTCACTGAAGCCACTGCTCCTAATAGTGGTTACTACGAAGCCGTCACTGAAGTCACTACTTCTCCTGGTGGGTACTTCGAAGCCGTCACTGAAACCACTGCTCCTCCTGGTGGGTATTACGAAGCGGTCACTGAAGTCACTACTCCTCCTGGTGGGTATTACGAAGCGGTCACTGAAGTTACTGTTCTTCCTGGTGGGTACTACGAAGCCATCACTGAAGTCATCAGGGACACTCTTAACAGCAGCAGCAACAGCAGCAGCAGCAGCAACAGCAGCAGCAGCAGCAACGCACAGTTGGAGACACAGCGGGAGTTCTACGCTGCCATACTTCCGGTGAGTCCAACGGTGCTTCTTGTACTGAAGTATTTATTTACCTTAATTAAGGTGCTTCTCGTGCTGAGACATAGTGGCTCCTGTACTGAAGGCCCTGAGACACTCAGCACAAGACTCTGAGACAAGACCTTGAGATATATATATATATATATATATATATATATATATATATATATATATATATATATATATATATATATATATATATATATATAATATATATATATATATATATATATATATATATATATATATATATATATATATATATATATATATATATATATATATATATATATGAGTCTAGGTACGAACAATATTCACAAATGGCCAGAAGCCATCGCTGTGAAACAACTCAACACTAGAACAGCTTTCACACTGTTCGCCTCCAGCTAAACACTGCTACGTATATATGAACAGAAATCCCCTTTGTACACACAATTGTTTCCCCCCGTTCCCTCACCACCTCTTTCCCTCCCCTCAACACCTCTTTTTTCCCCTCACCATTACACCTATATATTGAGCCAATCTCACCTAAATAATGACTTTACCATTATCTCACCTCACCATCACCTCACCAGAACCTCACTTAAAAAGAATACCGTTAACATTAACAATAAACCTGAGCAACTCTCATATAACGTATACCCTCCTATAACACAGGCTAGCTCTAAGGACCCATAATATGCTCTCTGTTTTGCTATTTGTGAAACAGTTATATAGCAAAATGCTCAAATAATTACTTAAAAATAACTAGGGAGTGAACTTTAATGTTTCTGCCATTAAAGGCTGCTGTTAGCTACTATACAATTTGTGTTACAAAGCTTAAAATTACAACGTAGATTGATGGAAACACACGCTGGCGAGAAGCTGAAGGCGATTTGATGAGAAATAAACTGGTAAAGGTAAATCTAAACATTTCTCAAAGGCTTTTCCCAAAGCTCTGGACTCAGAGCGGTGACTCCCTCTTAAAGGGCTGAGTAGAAACAGCTTTTTGTGCGTGCAAACAATGGATTTTTTTTTTTTGGATTACCGAGGATTTCTGGCTTGAAATTTATGTCTATTTATTTTCTGTTTACCAACTGTAAATTAACAATAAATTATTTGATTCAACAGAACAAATCCAGCAAACACGTCAGTCTTTATTTCCACCGGAGACTTCTGAGAAGGAACCAAAGAAATCAACTCGAATATTATTACACAGAGAAATCACATTAACAAAATATATGAATGCACTAATCAACATTAATATTATTTCTATTTTACTATTATTATTATTGCTATTGTCAATATTATTATCATGATTAATAAGACAATATTGAGGTACTGTGGTGGGATTAAACACAAGTCTCTGAACTCCCCAGAGTCCAGGAACGCGAGTTCCACACTACACTATTGTCTCAATATTTTCACACTGATACACCACGTTATTGCGATTAATAATCGTTAATAACGTGATCATTGTTATCATGACTAATATTAGCATTCAGTATAGGGGCAGCAGCATCATTGGCTGATCTTAAATACAATCTCAGAGTTGTAATTTAACTGTTTGTGTGGGTGATCCTTCAGACTCTGATTGTCTTCACCCTGGCGACGACTCTAGTCAGTAGTGTGGTGGTGTGTGCTACACCGTGGGTCAAGAGGCCAATTTCTCCAACCGTGAGGCTCTCTCTCTCCTTGGCAGCCGCCAATACGCTCTTCGCCATCACTTGGACTCTCTGTGAGTACTCTTGCCTGCCCCCCCACGTGTCCCTACACCACTCTCCATTACTGGAGACATATATGCTCTTCTTATATTACAAACGTAAATCTAAACTCTTATAATTACTTTTTCCTCAGTCACACCTTTTCTGTTTTCTCCCTTCCCCCTTCCCCATGACATTCACTCCTTCCTCATTCCCTAATTCCCCATCATCTTGCCACAACTGATACTTCTACCCTACCTTCCTTTCCCCCATTACCTACACCAATACTCCTACCTTCCTTGCAACCCTCTCTATTACTGTCTTTTTCCCTACACACACACACACCATATTTCTACTATTCCCTCTACTCCAATGTACCCTCTGCTTCTGTGCCTAAATCCACCCCACCCCCTAATCCCCGCCTTTCAGAACACCTCCCCCGTAATCCCTTTAATTAAATCATCTGTCACCTAAGTACGTCACACCTGCCTTACCTTCTCTTCCCCTCGCTCTTGAACCACAAGGTACAGGTTGATCTATTCAACCAGGGGGAATAGATCTAGGTAAGTGTGTATGGAACACAAGAAGTGCTGTCAATATCCGGCTGCAACTATGCCACGATAGCGGAAACTATGACATGGCAACAGCTGTTGGTTATCAATACAAATGAAGCAAAACATTTCCTAACTAAAAAAATAAAAAATATATATAATACAATTCTATCACTTGATTATACAACATAACTTAAGATCTATAGACCATTTTGGAACATAACTAAACAAGGTGAACGAGACAAAAATAAAACTAGAATAAAACATTGAATTTAAAATAAAAATCACCAGTTTTTTTCATACCGAGGTAATAGAATTTGGGTTACAGAAAGGATTCTGTTTTTTTTTTTTAAAGATACGAGTTCCGAATTATTTATTGTACAGAAATTGTCAACAATCGGTAAAACTTTGGTTGTTTCATGTAAGCTAAAGGTCAATTAAATGCTTCATTTTAAATGTTTCGTAATTGTTAATTGTCAAAAAATATCTATACCACAGTTTTCCCTCATATTCGCTCGATTATACAGAAATACAATAATTACCACAATAATATTGTCTTTGTTAGCATTTTTTTTAAAAGGGAAAAAAATGCTGAGAGTAGAATTTCATTGTTAATCACGTTTTGCATGCAAAAGATCCAATAAAAAATAAAATAAAATGAAAATCCAATAAATCCAATAAAACCCTTTTATTGCAGTCAACACTTTATGCTCTTCACTATCAGATTTGTTTCGTTAATTCAACCTTTGCTTTTTTTCAGGTTTGGTGGGGAATATGTACCTACCGATGGTGAAGAAGGTAGAGGTGCCAGAGTGCCTCAAACTCTCCCTAGAGGTAATGCGCCTTTGTAGCATTCTCATTCAAATCCTTCATCTCCTGGTAGTGGCTCTCAACCACTACATTGGGATCATCCGACCGCTCCATTACGCGGCCACCTTTACCCCTACCACACTTAAGGCCATCCTCGCTATCCTCTGGCTCACTCCTCGTAAGTGAATGACTCAGGTTCCATTCTACGTTAAAAAAACGTAGCACAATTGGTGACACATGTCCAATCATGTCCCAATAATATCCGTTTTGTAAATATTTCAATATTTCATATAGTTAACTTTGTAAATTAAAAGCGAATTATTTGGTATGTGAGTCCCTTGTTCTACCACAGTCCATTTCCCAGGGGAATGTAATCCTCTGTAGAGGAAATATAATAAATGATAACATGCAACTCGAACGGGAGTTTTGCATTTTTATCCAAGAAAACTAAACTAGGAAGAGATGGTAAACAGCGTTTTGTTAAAAACCATGAGCGTATTATATATATATATATATATATATATATATATATATATATATATATATATATATATATATATATATATCTGAAATAACATAATAATTTACAACAAAAATGAGACTGCATTACGTTAGTGGTGGAAAAAGAACATAGTAATAATTATGTGAGTAGGCTTCGTCTCAAGGTGTGTGTTGTCTGTTTCAGTGGTGGGAATGTTTGTGGTGTTCTCTAGTGTGTCACAAGAAGGCTTCCAGTCCACAGGCTGCTCCAGAGTCACATTTTATACACAGGGTCTTACGGTCAGTGTTGTGTACAAGTTTCTATGTTGTTTTATTTCTTATGCTTACTCAGCTATAATTGCCAACTGTCAGAGGACATTCAGATAAAACAGCACGCAGTCACACACACACACACACACACACACACACAAAACCCCTGTAAACACAACTAGGTGAATACACACACACACACACACCTACCTTGAGGTTACCTTGAGGTGCTTCCGGGGCTTAGCGTCCCCGCGGCCCGGTCGTCGACCAGGCCTCCTGGTTGCCGGACTGATCAACCAGGCTGTTGGACGCGGCTGCTCGCAGCCTGACGTATGAGTCACAGCCTGGTTGATCAGGTATCCCAACCACACACACACAGTTTTTCACTGAAATAGCTCCTACACTCCATATATATGTTAAAACCTTTCAGACAAGTTTTTGCTATGTCACGTATCTTTTTCCAACTATTGATCAACCCTGGATATAAATATCCTATTACGCAGAATTGAATTTCTTATTACTTAGTTAATTTCTTATTAACCATAAGAAATTTACGCTACGCTACGGAAAGTGATGTGCTAGTAACAGAGCCCCCTGTGTGTGTGTACAGTTCCGTGTGGTGTGGACCTGCATCTTCTTTGGGCCGACTGTAGTTATTATCATCGTCTACTGCCACATCTTTCATCTCCTGAATAATCGTAGCCTCTACCTGGTGTGTCCGGAGCAGCGGTCACATCTCAGAAGAAATATCAAGGTAAGACGCTAAACATGTTTGCGTGTTCATAGTATCTAGGGAACCGTTTTATCTGACCGTGTGACTGGACACAGTATCTAGAGAGACCGTCTTATCTGACCGTGTGACAGGAGATATAAACGCCCAGATGGACTTACCAGTCCAACCAAGGAGGGATGCTGAACGGGACTACACATGTACATCTACGTTAGCTGATTCCTATCTATCGTACTGTAGAGCTGAGGGTGGTGGAGCTGCTACCTTCAAGGAGTTCCAGAGAACTAATAAGTACAGGAACGATCGACTTGAGAATGGTCCAGGACGGACCGAAACGTCGTCGTCCCTTCACCTTCTAGTGTGTGGTCTGGTCAGCATACTTCAGTTACGTTATCGCCTGTATAATAAGTACAGGGATTTAGGACACTGTTTCAGGGTCGTGCCAGTATGGCCTTTGGTAAACGTGCCCTTAAGTTCTTAAAAGAGGTGGAAAAGGAACTCATTAGGCAAACTAGACTCAAAAATTGAGTGTTTCTGTTCCTCATTGTCCTGATCCAGAGTGGAAGGGAAGGGAACCTATCCCGCTAAGCCATTATAAGTATATAACACTCGGAAGAGATGAGGATAAGGATTTGGGATGGGGGGACAAGGAGTATAAGGCATATAGTGGCTCCAGAGTGGACTGCTGCGTCCTATGCACTCACCCCCTTCAAACAGAGATGGATGGCGTTTCTTAACAGTTTCTTAACTCTATAAGTGTGTAATACGCAAGTTGTAACTCAATGTAATAAATTACATATAATGTATACAAATAAAACAATTTAAGGTGGTAGGAGACGAAAATACTCAACAGTACTTAGAGAGATTCTGTAAGTTTCTCTGTAATCTTGTAAGGCAATAGGTCCCCATAGTTATACAAGAGGTGACACACACACACATTATATTAAATATGTATTGTAATGTGAATTCATTATATATATATAAAAGGGGTACCACCTCTGGTGCAATTGTAGGGACCCATAGCCTCGAAGAAAAAAATAAAGAGTACTCAGAGAAGACCTTGTGGATCCCCATTGGACACTTTGATATTTTCTTCTCCTACCATCCCTATTATTTTTGTATATATATATATATATATATATATATATATATATATATATATATATATATATATATATATATATATATATATATATATATATATATATATATATATAAAACAAATTACGGGACAGTAATGGTAATATAAACATTCATTAGTGAGTAATTATATAATATTCTGACCTTGGAGTTGAATCTTTCACTTACATTATATTAAAAAGCCCAGCTTAATTGAACTCTGCTCTGACGAATTGCTTTATTCCATAAGTCGCTTTTAGACGGAGATATGTCATCTGAAAACAAATTGGCAATTATAAAACTCGATGTTATAACTAATGATCCGCTGGTGACGGGGGGATGGAATCTGATTTCATTCTCCTCTCTAATTTAAATTTTTAAGTTCATCGGTAAGGATAAAAGTTCATATATATAAATATGTCCAGCAATATTCGATAAATGTCCAAATGTACATTAATATTTCCTGTATCCATAGGATCTTTAATATTTCTTATGGGTCTATAAGTATTACAATATTATATGTTCATAGCTAGGTATGGATAGGATATATTCCTTATATATCAATAGGTATGGACAAAATGCCTCATTAGTTCATAGTTAAGACAATATTGATCCAAAGGTGACTTTAAGATTACTCGTAAGTCCATAAAAACGAGAATTTACGTCTCCCATCCACTGAGTTTTCCCCTAAAAAACAAACTCCCAGCCTTCCAGAGGGATTTCACTGGGCTTTGATTTTTCGCCATTATCTTCTTGTTTGTATTTGGCTTCTCGTACGCCAGACTTTACCCGGGGCTCCTCATAGACTTTTATACTCTCTGAAACTTTCTTCGTACCTTGACATTCAGAATTTAATGTATTGTTTAGCTGTAAATGGTTAAGAGAGCGTAGAAAGATTTACCAACACAATAACGTACTGTGATAATAGACTCACAGATCAATAACAGACTCACAGTAATGATATGCTCACATAGTTATAACCGTCTCAGTCTTAAGAACTTTCAGACGCAGAGGCAGAATTCCCCCCCAAAAAAGCCTAAATTGTAGTGTATAGTACTCAAAACTTCGTATTTTCTCTTAATATCTCAAAATCAAAATTTTTAGTTCAGTTTAGAGCACTGTAGCCTTGTTTTTCAACGTTCAAAATACATTTTCATAGACACCTGTGTCAGCTTTGTTTAAAACCAAGTTTTTAACGCGGGTTCGATCCCATTGTCCAACCTAAGCATTTTCACAGCAGTGAAGGTTGAGCAGATCTCATCTGATGATAATAATGGGTTTCGTGAATGTTTATATATTCATGAATTAATTTAAACTTTTTTGTATTTATAATAACAAGGCCAATTAAAACCCACATCGAAGTCTTCGCCTCTTGTCATATCTCGTTTAATATAATTTCGTTTTTCTGTGAAAAGGGATGAAAAAGAAGATTTAATATACTTATATATGAAAACTTGACGGTTGTTAAGTATTTATAATAAATAATATTTCAACTGCAGGGGGCGCAGGCCGCAGATGATAGCTGCATTAATCAGGTAGGCCTGTGCTTATTTCCAGCCAATATATTGCTCTGTAATCCAGTAGGCTTTGGCGTAGTGTAATCAACACATTGCTCTATAGACCTGTTGGCTTGTGCGGTTTTCCAGTCAATATTTTGCTCTATAATTCTGCTGCGTAGTCACTTTTCATAGTTTCTAAACCGATCTAACCAAATCACCTAAACCAAGGCTTAAAACTGTACCACCCTTCATCCCTTAGTAGAGACCTAAGGAAAGAAACTGTTGCTTATTTTTGCGTACTGGACGAAACGGGACCAAACATTTCCTCGACTGTTTTTGCTTGTCTTGTTTAAGCTCAACTTAAAGCCTTTCTTTACACATTTTTCCAACAATATTACCCATTAAATCATAATTTTAAATCGAGTTCTCAGTTGACTGTATAGTGAACAGCGTAAACACAGAAGATAGTGATTAAAATATATGTTTAGACCTTACATATATAAATATCCTCCCCCCCTCCTCGGAAAGCCTCGTGATCTTTGCGGGTTCAGTAGTACCCCCAGGTTATAATTCTTTTGACCATGTCATGGCGCAGTTGATTAAAGCGTGCATCTGGGAATACCCAGCGTATAGGTTCGAACCCTCTTCACGGCTCATGTGGATTTTTTTTCACACTTTTGATGACGATAGATTGGCAGGGAAAGTCGAGGTGTATGGTATTGAGGGCCACTCCTAAGCCTTCAATACCTCAGGACATGAGCGCTCGGCTCTATCTCCTGAGCCCGGTTCAAGACATCGCTATTGCAGAGGAAGTAGAGGACGAGCAGAATAATTAAGTCATAAATGGGAAACAAGTGAGCGGCGAGAGGCAGTGAGCAATAGGATTTTGATATAGAAATCAAAATCAAATACATAATTTTGATATAGAGGTGAAAACCGACCTTAGAAATATTAAATTAGAAATCATTAACCGGTTGAGTATCTGCCAGAGTTAACACTTGACGCTTGAGTAGTTACTGGAGTAGAATACCTACCCCTTGCTGTCTAAATTGCATAGTCCACTAACAGCCACTCAGTAGAATGTCCTTCTTATCAGGATGGTCGGAAAATGTGTTCCCTAACTATCCTCTTTACAATAGATATCTTACGTTACAAATTTGTTGGAGACTGTTGTTGTTGTTATAGATTCAGCTACTGGGAACAAGACGTTCCCAGTAGCTGATTCAGCTACTTTGCTGGAGACTTAAACAGCTTCAGTATTGATAACCTTACATAGAACTGGTCCTGTATAAACTTAAATTATATAAAAGACCAATTTACAGAGAAAAAGATTTCAAATGAGCTTTATTAGATGTTGCAAACGTATTTAAACTATATTAGATCGACTGAAACAATACGATAGCGAAAATAAAAGGAAAAATGGATAATCAGTTATTTCATTCGTTTCTCAATGTTCTATGTCCTAAATTATTTGTAAATTTTGATGTGTTTCTAAATATAAATATTTTTAATGCACTCCGATTGTACGCTATAAGGATTGTCAGGGTGGTGGTAGCCCTGATGATTGTCAGGGTAGTGGTAGCCCTGAGGAGTATTAGGGTAATGGTAGCCCTGAGGATTGGTAGAGTGGTGGTAGCCCTGTTGATTGGTAAGGGTAGTGGTAGCCTTGAGGAGTGTTAGAATGGTGGTAGCCTAGAGAAGTATTAGGGTAATGGTAGCCCTGGGGAGTATTAAGGTGGTGGTAGCCCTGGGGAGTATTAACCGATATTTACTCCTTAAAATATTTTCATTCTATTATTCTTTTTACGATTTGTCTTTATTTTTGCGTAAACCAAATTCACTTATATATATATATTAGTTACAATTGTTGACCTTCGTTGACCATCTCGAAGGTAGTCACGACCAAGCAAATATACACCCACACACGACATACACACACACAACAGATTCAGAAAATACCTGGGTTAATAATGGTTTGGAAATAAGGTTCGTTGGTTTATGGAACACATTATCGGGTAGCATAGTACACATGGGATCGTTGGATTGTTTTAATCGGAGGATAGACATACATGAATGAGTTTGGGGGATATATACGCAGGAGCTGTTATGTATATGCCATTAGGAATTCTATACATTTTTATATTCTTATCGTCTTAACACATGCACACACAAATGACACACGCAACACATACAAAGCGCGAAACACTTCATACATAATACAGAACACTCAACACACACACACAATCCCACACAACACAATCACATTCAATATATAGCCACTACAACTTAAAAAAATTTGCTTCTAAGGTCTATAATCGATATCCAACAACCTCGGAGTTATGAGTTATTTACCGTGCAGTTGGCGGTCGTAAGGGTTTAGACACAATCGTTCCCTTATCACTGACGCTTAAAGACTGACACTTTCACTGTCGGCAGCTTCTTGTTTCACTGATATTTGTCACCTCAACAACAGTGAAAAAAACGAATTCTTGCACATTCGAAAAATCTTGTTGCCGATTTTATTTTCACAAAATTTTAAAATGCTTGTTTTTAACACTTTGCAATTAATTAAAGTGTCACTTGAAACTTTGTTTATGTTGAAAAAGCCAAATGGTATATTCACATTTAATAATATTTATGACTTATATTAATGGTGTCAAGTGGAGTGCATACACCAACATCATAATTTTGCAATAGCTCTTTCTCCGCTAGACAGTATTATTGATCGCATCAATTAATTAACCTCAGGTAGGATTATGGATATCACACTGGCACTGGCACTTCCGTTTTTCTCTTGACGAACAGAGAGAGTAGCAATGCTTTATTTGTTCCTTCCTCACAATCACTGACAATAATATTTACATTCTCTCTCCAGGTAGTGTTACAGATCCACTTCCTTTCTCCAGATAATGCGAGTAAGAAATCCACTCTTTCTCCAGATAATGCGAGTAAGAAATCCACTCTTTCCCCAGATAATGCGAGTAAGAAATCCCCTCTTCCCCCTCAGACAGTGTTTCAGACCCACAACCCCTTCCCCCCCCCAGACAGTGAGAGTGACAGACCCCACTCTCTTCCCCAGACAGTGAGAGTAACAGACTCCACTCTCTTCCCCAGACAGTGAGAGTAACAGACCCCACTCTCCTCCCCAGACAGTGAGAGTAACAGACCCCACTCTCCTCCCCAGACAGTGAGAGTAACAGACCCCACTCTCCTCCCCAGACAGTGAGAGTAACAGACCCCACTCTCCTCCCCAGACAGTGAGAGTAACAGACCCCACTCTCCTCCCCAGACAGTGAGAGTAACAGACCCCACTCTCCCCCCCAGACAGTGAGAGTAACAGACCCCACTCTCCTCCCCAGACAGTGAGGACGACGGCACTGATCGTGGGGACGTTCGTGGTGGGGTGGGGCCCAGCTGTGGTGAAGTTCGTGTTGATATGTGGGGAGTGTGTCTTCCAGGAGATGGACCTCCACACCCAGATGTACCTGGGAGCGGGATTCAACACCCTCTTCTCCCTCAAGGTACACCATCAGTCCTCATCATCACTTAATTATCCATTCAAGTCTTCTTTGTCAAGGTTTTACTTATATGTATTATATATATAGAAGGGGTACCACCTCTGGTGCGAGTGTAGGCACCCATAGCCTTTATATATATATATATATATATATACGATTATATATCATTTTGTTTTCTCTGGCTGTAAATATATGTTGATATGAATATGTGGAATAAGTGAAATTCTTCGCCTAAGTATTTGTTTATTTTCCACCATCTCGATTTTAAGCACATGGTTTTGAAGCACTGCATTTTGGAAGTGTTTTTATTATCAGGTATTTATGTATACACTCAATCACACACACACACACACACACACACACACACACACACACACACACACACACACACACACACACATACACACACACACTCACATACACACACACACACACACTGACACATACCAACAAATAACTGGTTTCCCAACAAATAATAAAACCCCCAATACGCTTCACAGGTCTTCATCGACACCTTCATCTACGCCATTCGTCTCCCTGACATCCGTAAGGCGCTCCTGACAATGTGGGTTATCTTCAGAGATCGTCTCAAAACAAGAGACCCCGGACTGGTGGATACATCAGCTGTGTCCTCCTCTCGCACCGGCTCCACTAGACTATCCTACAGCTCTCCTAGTATACATAGGTGAGGCATATAGTATATACATTTACTAAACGAAAAAATCTACCACTTACGGGCTATTCATGCCCGTGCTATCTCTTGAGTGGCTTAACCTTCATCAATCAATCACCTGCCATCTCATAACTACTTCATCAATCCTGGCTTATCAACCCACTTTGTCTCAGTAAGGTGACCTCATCATATCAATCGAAAATAATAATTTTTTTTATTTCTCTCATTATAGTTCTCACATTTTCCTTCAAGTGCTTGAATTCTCATTATTTTCCCTTTACACACCTGAATTTTCTTAGTTTTTGCATTAGACACCTGAATTCTGGCAGGTTTTTCCACATCTGTCTCGTTACACACATGCTCTGCCACCCTTTAAGACATGCTAATCCTTCCCCCTGCCTTCACACAGGCTAATCCTCCCCCTTCCTTCACAGGCATGCTAATCCTTCCCCTGCCTTCACAGGCATGCTAATCCTTCCCCTGCCTTCACAGACAGGCTAATCCTTCCCCTGCCTTCACAGACATGCTAATCCTCCCCCAGCTTTCACAGGCATGCTAATCCTCCCCCTTCTTTCACAGACATGCTAATCCTCCCCTGCTTTCACGGGCATGCTAATCCTTCCCCTGCCTTCACAGACATGCTAATCCTTCCCCTGCCTTCACAGACATGCTAATCCTTCCCCTGCTTTCACAGGCATGCTAATCCTTCCCCTGCCTTCACAGACATGCTAATCCTTCCCCTGCCTTCACAGACATGCTAATCCTTCTCCTGCCTTCACAGACATGCTAATCCTTCCCCTGCCTTCACAGGCATGCTAATCCTCCCCCTGCCTTCACAGGCATGCTAATCCTCCCCCTGCCTTCACGGACATGCTAATCCTCCCTTTCCTTACCACAACTTAGACTTCCACAAGCAACACATACAGTCTACATACAGTCTACACACAGTCTACATACAGTCTACGTACAGTCTACATACAGTCTACGTACAGTCTACATACAGTCTACATATAGTCTACATACAGACCGCAGCTGTGTTCTGTTATTTACATCGTTGAAATTTTAATTTTTATGTAATAAGAGACACACATGTAGCATGTGGTGATCTTCCGAAATTAATTCCTTCTAATCTGTAGTTTACTTATGTATCCTTTATCTGTTTTAGTTTACTTATGTATCTTTTATCAGTTTTCAGTTTACTTATGTATCCATCTGTTGTTTTTAGTTTACTTATGTATCCTTTATCTGTTGTTTTTAGTTTACTTATGTATCCTTTATCTGTTGTTTTTAGTTTACTTATGTATCCTTTATCTGTTGTTTTTAGTTTACCTATGTATCCTTATTTTTAGTTTACTTATGTATCCTTATTTTTTAGTTTACCTATGTATCCTTATTTTTAGTTTACTTATGTATCCTTATTTTTTAGTTTACTTATGTAGGCCTTATTTTTTTTAGTTTACAGGGGTGTCCTGTAAGTAACGCTCTCTGTGCTGGCTGCTAGACACTATAGACCATGAAGCCTGGATCACCACTCCCAACCAGGCCATTCTCACTCCGTAAAAAAATACAACCATTTTACCTAACTAGAAAAGTAAGAACCCCATCAACCCACCTAACCCATCAAGGCGAACGCATAAGAAAAAAGGTCAATTTTACGGTGCTTTTAATCTTTGCTAATACATCTCATTTTATAACGTATTGGTCGAGTCCGTAATATAATTTTCGACGGGTCAGAGGACGGGCTAGAAGAAGTAATAACCATTAAAGCTAGAAATAATTCCTTGAATTTATCATCTTGAAAATTTTTCACCTTTATTTTGAATTCGTAAAATATCAGAAGCGCTGATTCCGTTTAGAGAATGGAGATTAATTAGTTTTGGTATATTGTATTATACAGAAAACTGTATAATAAAATTTTCACTGAATTTTGTAACTCCAAGTGCTCTTTTGTAACTTCTAGTGAACTAGTGAGTATCTACAGTGACGGTCAGTAACATTAAGAATGGTAATGTGATACTAACATTATTAACAGTTAATTATTAATATTGGAACTGCTAATCAGTAGCATTAATAGTACTAATTAGTTACCTTTACAATACAGATCATTATTATCAATGATAATCAGTAACATTATGATCATTGTAACTAGTAACGGTACTAGCACTAATCAGTAACATTGCTAATCAGTTACATCAACAGTACCAACTATACTAAATGTGTTAATCAGAAAAATTTCCAATAATTTAAAAAGAAATTTGAAAAATAATATTCATAAATGTACATATTTAAAAATACAAAGGCTAAAAAATTACGGCATAAAAAAATTATACATAAAAAAATCATGGCATAATAAAATCATACATAAAAAAATCGCTGAATAATAAAATCATGCATAAAAAAAATCACGGCATTAAAAATTCCTACATTAAAAAAATCAGCTTACTTGAGTACCGCTCTTAAGTGTAATTCTCTTAACTCGTTGATCGTTACGAGTCGTAGTTGGTATATTATATATTTACGTTTACGTTAGTAATGTATTTACGATATCCATGGATATTGTGTCCAATGGGACGTATTGGCCGTCGGACAGAACGCCCGTGTTCGGTCACCAGTCTTGTGCATATCGTACTGACATACTCAAAATCTTATATATATATTTTCTCTACAATGCCCTTGAAAATCACTTTCAAAACATGTTTAATAAGTTGACCAAACCACACACTAGAAAGTGAAGGGACGACGACGTTTGGTCAACATATTTCAGCCACGTTATTGTGACTCCTCGACTGCATATATATAATAAAACATTAAAAAATATATATATATATATATATATATATATATATATATATATATATATATATATATATATATATATATATATATATATATATATATATATTTGCTAAATATGTTTGTATAATACGCTTTTTACGCCGGTAACTAAGGCAATTAAAACAGAAATTGAATGCAATAAAACTAATCACCAAACTGCATTAATCACATTGGCACATTCGCCACAAGAGTTCATTAGTTGTCCAGCGTTTTTTTATTGTTCGTCTGAACACGCTTAATGGCCTTGTTAGGCCATTTTCATGCACAGAAATAACCGCCTAGCCCTATTTTTACACACACATTAATATAATTATTGATACTATGGTCGTATGGCGGGAAGGAATTAAGAGTTGTGTTGAATAACCAAAAAAGTGCTTTTTATAAACTATAATTATTTTTAAAGATGACTTTCAGATCATTGTATTAATGTTATGTAGTGTATAATGTTTTGTACTAATATAGTTGTCTCATAAAGATAATCTTGTACCACAGTCCACAACGATTTCCCAATAGTACATCTAACCCTTTTACCTAGTTCCTCTCCCCTTTTCTCCCCTTACTCCTGTATTTCCTCCCCTTTCCCTGAGGGATTCCCTCACCCCTGTGCTTGTTTACTCATTTCCCTCTACCTTCTAATCCCCTATCCTGGGGGTTCATAACTCCCGCCCATTTCTCCCCATACTTCTAATCACTCTACGGTGTTTCCGCCCGTTCCTGTGTCCCTGGGATCTTCTTAACCCCTCCTAGGTTCCGTTTGTCCCTGAGCCACGGGTCACCGGGATCCAGGTCAGGGTCAAGGTCACGATCCGGCTCCCCGTGTCTGCAGAAAGCTCAGGTCAAAAGGTGAGACGAGGTCCAGCTCCTGTTGGTCTCGTTAATGTGCATGATTGTCGTCCTTGGTAATGCGCATGATTGTCGGCGGGTCCCTGGTAATGCGCATGATTGTCGGCGGGTCCCTGGTAATGCGCATGATTGTCGGCGGGTCCCTGGTAATGCGCATGACTGTCGGCGGGTCCCTGGTAATGCGCATGAGTGTCGCCCCCTGGTAATTGCTTGTCGGTCCCTCGTAATGCTTCTCTTGTCTTCCCAAGTGACCTACAGGTCCTGTAAGGGGCTTTGACAGCCCCATTCTTGAGTTTGACGCCGGGGGCGAGTATAGGCAAACGACGTTAAATGAAACATCGAACCAACGTTGATCTAAATGCTAGTTTTACTTTACCTCGTTAACTCCCTCGAGAATACCCAAACGAGCAAGCAAGAGTTTCCTCATCAAACCATATAGATATTCCCTTCAAATGATCTGAGCAATTTCGACGCTGGATTCACCCAAAAGACACAAAATAATCCAACTCGTTTGGAACACAAGAAATCAAAACATGCGATCCCTTCATCAATACAAACATATTGTAGTGCAATTCCTGTTTGCAACAAACAAACTAACACGTGTCGAGCACCAAATACTACAACTAATAATAATAAAACAATAATAACATTAATAAAAATACTAAACCATTATAATAACCCCAAATAACAGAGCTAGAGTCGAAGGAGTTGTGTAAGAAGTTCGATATCACTTTCTAGGCTTCTACACGATCTACGGGCGTCTGTGAATTGGAAGCCCCTCAGACGCCGAGATTACAGTGTACCGCAGGAATCATCTTCTTCAGGAAGCATGAAGGCGGCTCAGCAGGTCTCCAGGGCAGCGCCTAAGGCAAGCTGTCCTCTCCTTCAGCCGCTGCCTGCCACAAGCCTGTCACCTGAGGTTCAGATCTTGTCACTACCACACCATGAACTAGCGTCGGCTGCTTCAGACTCCATGTTGCAGCCGCGTCTCAATTAGTTGCGTTCCAGCTAGTCATCTTGCGAGAGAGAGAGAGAGAGAGAGAGAGAGAGAGAGAGAGAGAGAGAGAGAGAGAGAGAGAGAGAGAGAGAGAGAGAGAGAGAGAGAGAGAGAGAGAGAGAGAGAAAGAGAGAGAGAGAGAGAGAAAGAAAGAGAGAGAGAGAGAGAAAGAGAAAGAAAGAGAAAGAGAGAGAGAGAGAGAACACAGACACAAGAGATGACAAGATGACCAGAAAATAACATGGTTGTTTCCATTCATTTTAATAACAGATCAAAACCAGGAGTTTAAAATGGTGAAGATGTTCAACATGCGTAGTGAATGCAAGTCACTGTGTGAACAC